CTGATATAGTATTATTAATTAAGCTCACACTATAACGGCCTCTTCAAAACATATCGAAATTATCTGTCCCAGTCAGTAGGTATACGATAATACATTATCGTTACCAGGTATTGGGAATTGGGATGTTTTTCACAACAACCATGTAATAGTTCTCCGAAAAAGATATTAATTAATCACAAATACTCGGAAATCCGTTCGATCCTCACGTTTCGGTTAATAGATGTTGTGCTCGAGGCCTGAAATAGTTCACAATAAATCAGCAACGGTAAATGTGATCGCTGGACAAAACAATGTAATTAGTTATTGAAAATTTCCATGGCCAATTGATTCAAAATCTGTTTAGTTGAAATCCAATAAGTAGACCGATAGATTCGTACTCGAATGTTATAATACAGACTTAAACATTTAACATAAATTGTTAGTAAGTACACAATACAAATGTACTACAACTGCAACTTATAAATTATTCAACCTAAAACGATGTGATCACAGTGCTTCGTGCTGCTTAAAAAAATAAGTGCAAAAATTATTTGTCAGCGTCACAACATTTCTCCTCTATTTTGATCTTACTGTACAGTTACAGCCTTCGGGCTAATGAAAAAGCACTTACAGAGGGACCTGGCTGTTTCCCCCGAGCTGTGGCCATAAGCCCATAGTCTGAACCCTGGAGCGGCCCGCGGCACAGATTAAAAATAAACACGCGCACTATTGAAAATGAGTTTACGGTCGCCATTAAACCTCCGAGCTTTATATTTTAACGAATGCACGCGTTGTATGTAATTTTTCAATAATATGAACAATAACTTTCAATTTACACGCAACCGTTGTGATTGCGTTTAATTAAATTCGCTTTTGGAATATTACCTGCAAATATCAATTCGCAGGTAAATTCAAGTAAATTATTGTACCATTTTTGGGTAATGTATTGGATGCTACATATCTTTTATATGCGGCTATTGTTACAAAAGTGCTATTAATTCACTTGAAATGGCATATGAACTCGAATTAAACTGTTGACTTCGACAATTTACTGCTGTAATTTTAATCTGAAAAATAATATTTTAGAAATACACTAGTAGTAGCAGAGGGAGAATAGAGTGCTTTCATAATAAACTGAATTCACAGTAACAATATTTAGTGTTGTTTCCCTTCCAATTAATAAAAATATCGATATCATGCCTCTATCTACTAATTATGTATAGCGGAATGTTTCGACATTGACTTCTCAATTCCGCACACGAGTCAACAAAAGCTCGGCGTTAAAAGCCCTCGTCAAGCATTCGTCCGCCGAATCGATGATTTCCCGCCCCCGCTGCAAGTAACCGCGTTACCGATGCACGCTCGCCGGCAAATCTCATTTTTATTAGGGAAGTAATGTGGAAAGAGTGGAAATGACACTGCACCGCCGACTTCCGACCCCCACACTTGTACAGGTGTCTGTGTACACGTCAACACAAAAGCACGCTTAAAACAAAGACTGTAGAGTTCAGAATAAATCGCAACACGAATGAGACGCCGCGCGTGCGCGATGATAGAAGCTTTATTATGTCAGTCAGCCGCCAACCGCGACACGGGGCGAACGTTCCGCGGCGCAGAGAATGCGCGCGAATAGTGATGTGACTGTGCGCGGCCGTGTCGATAGTTTTTGTCGATGTTTTGATGTGTAATGTGCTGTGCGATGTGATTTGGATTTTGAGTGGCAATTACGTCTTGCTACTTTAATGGTTTGTTTGAATGAATTGCAAATTGTAGGCAGGATCAGATTTTGATACAAAGAAATTACAAATGAATATAGGAACTAATGGGTATGAGGATTTGCGTAGGATAAAATAATGAAATGCCATTTGCGTTGTTATTTATATGCATACCAAAATACGGTAAAATGAAAGCGCGACAAGCAATTCCCAAAGTGATACTCACAAGTATTGTGGATAATTTAATTTCATACAATTTATTATTAAGCATTTACTAGGAAACAAGAAGGAAATCGTTTCGCAGAACAAGCTTTAATGGCCGATGGACAAAGCCAGGGTGGCTGGCACTCCATCAAATATTGATGGCCGTTAAATGGATTCCGATCGCGGGGCAGTTGATTTAACTGTGATTGCGCCGTTTGATTCAATAAACTGTTTTGATATTGATGACATCCGATGATGTGCTGCTGGTAATTTAATATCTGCTTATTACTGTGGAAGTAAAAGTATTGAGCTTTTAAATTTGTGATATGGAATTATACGTATTGTTAGGAAAACCATTTTATTACGTCGCCGCGTCGTAATGAAACAAAATGTATGCTGCATGAAATACAATTTTCTTCATTTGCTGATGAAATGACTGAAGAAGTTTTTGAAGAAAAAAAGTGAAGAGTTTTTCACCCCTAAGTACAAGAATTGTTTTTTACAAATAACAAAAATGTCTTAAAAGAAAAATATGTTTTATTCGATACCAAAATTATCAAATTGCGGTGTTTATCTTTTAACTTACTTATTTATATATTTTTTTATCCTGAAGATGTAATTGTAAGCTCACAAAAAGCTCCCATCCGGAGCTTACATCAGATGCAGCGCGTGACGCGTCAAGAGCACATAATTCATTCTAATTATACCGCTTAAATCCCGTCTACGTTACGTCTCCATTAACCCGCGTTATACGCCGCCGGGGCGCAGGGCTGGCCCCGCTGTGTAATTAATACAAATTAATTGCGCGAAAGTTGCCCTGTTGCCGCTGGAAAGTTGCGGAACTGACGTAAATACTTGAGCGTTGTAGACAGTAACAACTTGATTATGTTGGCGACTAGAAGGTAGGATGTCATTTAATAATCAGCTCCTATTAAACAACAGAATAAGGTTTAAAATGTTTAAGACACAAAAACAATGCAAAATTTCGGGCTTTTAGGAAAGCTATAGCTATCACTTACAGACTTTTGCTCTTTGCTTGTTAGTGCCAGAATATTTGCGTGCTCAAAATAGAAATGTTAAACTTTTGAATGGGCACGGGCGCTTGCCACTCGGCTCAGTTCAAAAGGTAAAACAGAAAAACGCTTTTTGAGCGTAGCAATGGCACGGAAAATCTTTTTTTTTAAGTGCCAGCCCTATCCCGAAGCTCTCTCGGCCGCCTCGCAGCTACTTGTGTTTGTAAATACGCTACCGCTGCTCACTCCAGCGCTTGCAGCGCTTTGCGATTAGTGCTGAGTTCACACGCGCCCCTTCAAAGGGTGTTTACTGTACAGACGAATGGAGATTCGGGTCTTTACCAAAGTTTGCTTTGAAGATATTTAAAATGATAAATCTTGCGTTTAAAAGACAAACATTATTAAAAAGTTGCAGTAAATTGATTTCTAAATAAGTAACATACTTATTGGTTTATTCACGATAAATGTTTTGTCAATAACTTACACCCCTACCGTTATAAACTTCTAATTGATTGACGCCTGATTAATATTTCACATATTGAAAGTGGATAAGCTGATTTCTCCATTTACCATAATAACACGTATCAATATTGTATCACATGTGATGATATTATTGCGAATAACTGGGACTTTTTAGCCTTGAAATTGATTAACTGAAATTCCCTGAAATCGTTTCCATTCAGAGTTGAATGCTAAGAAAAGCCACAAAGGGATTTTTTTATTTATAGATAAAAAAGTCAAATAGTTTCCACGAAAGAAAAAGACTATTATGGCCGATATCGATTATCGATAATTGGGCAGTCACTATAGTGAATTGCCATTAAAATGTCAAGAAGAATTAATAAATGTTTCTATCTTTGTGGATCATCTTTTGTACAAGTCGTTCGTACCATATTATACCTATAGCTTTCTCACAAAAGCTTTCAAGCAGCTGAAAGCGCTCAGCGGCCGCGGGCATCCGATACGCGGTTTTATGGCTTTTTGTGCGTGCCCGCCGCGGCATGTTTGTTAATTTGTGTCCCTCCCCACCCCAAGTGGGGGGTGACTGGGAGCCTGTTGCGTTACCGGGTATGCCGGGTAATGCGGTGGCTCGTGCTATTAGTTTATTGCTTCTTGCAACCGGCTTTAATGACGTCACGGAGAGGTGTTGTGTGGTGGTTGCGATGTGCAGAGATTTGCACGAATCATGTCGCTACTGTAAGGTTATTTGATGGCAAATGTTCAAAATGACCAAACACATTCAGCTTGCATGTAAATTCCGTTTTCAAATTACATAGAGTCAGTCTGAATGCAAAGGAAATAAAGCCTTACAGACTTGAGTGAATAGGAATTCAATGAGCAGGGCCTTAGATCCCATCATCACATAACATCGAGTGAGATGGAGGTCAAACGCGGACTGAAATCCAAATAAAAAAGACATGGGTTTTAATCAGAAATATAGTAGGTATTGTAGGTATCTCTAAAAACTATGTGCCGAATTGAAAGCGATTTTCTTTAGTGAGAAAATTGGAGTCAATTTCACCAAACGTTCTAAACGTATCCGATAAAACAAACAGTTGAAAAACTATCAGCAGAAATCTTTTCGATTTGAAACGAACTGTCTGTATTTGCGATCGCATCGTCGAGATTAACTGCAGCGTGTTGTCTCTCGCTCGCTCGAGGAAACAAACGCTTTATTGGAAGGAAATTAAAAATATGACGACGTTTTTCATTACGTACTGGCCCGAGAGACGCGCCCGCTCTCCCGGAAAATTCAACAGAACATGAATGAAAACATTTCAGACGATTACTTATGCTATGGGTTCAGGGTACGTGTGTATACGTGTAACCTTTCAAGCAGGTTTTCCTTGATCTCAAGTTTTTATACCGTGGCAGTTTTCAACTTGGATGAATATGTACTTTACGGCAAGGTTCATCTTGCTATTTGAGGCACAATTTTCTTTATGACGTCTGGTTGATTCAACCAGGAAGATGAAGGTTCCCAGTTTGTGCCCATCACATGATAATTCAACCTTATTCAAGTCGGCACTGTTTACTTGATACTGGAGAAATTGCTTCAAATTCCAGTGAATACTTTTAAAAGTTGCATCGTCCTAGTTTTATGTGATACGGTACCATGAGTTGGCAGGCCACAACCTCGAGGTTGTCATAGTTCCCTAATAAAACCACGGTCAAGTTTCCGCGGGCGAGTGAGCCGCAGTGCCAGTCGGAGCCATTAAAAAATCGTTAAGCCATCGTCAAGGCTTTTCTCCGTTCCCATTGTTGTTTGCCTACTGTTAATTTATAGAGACTATGGGCTTTGGCATTGTAGCACTTAAAGCGCGGAAACGTTTGTGGGTTTATGTTTCATCGATCCCACAAACATTGCTGTGGAAAACTGTGATTGAATTTATATGGCGTGCAAAAACGGTAAAATGTTCAGCTTTAACATACTCGTAAACCATTTTAAACATGCATAAACAATTGTTATTGTTTTCGCAAAAATAATCTGGTTGACTGAATAAAATAGTAATTCGTGACGGTCGATTGAGACGATAAACGACAGTCTTAAATATTGAAATTTTCTATAGGCACATAAAAGCTCTTTAATGCTTATCTCTCAAGACATCGCAATGGCATTCAATCGCGGATGTATTCCCGTCCACTGGTTCAGTAACCGCGACGAGCGACGTCGAATGGGCGGCGCTCGACAGCCGATACATCAGTCGGCTGATGATGCGACGCACAATGCGATATCGATGTCGATGAGCGAGCGTGCGCATCACTAGACGGATTTAATGCTTGACTAAAACGATGCAAATGTATTTATTACATCTATCAATAGGGTATAAAGTCTTAATAATATTTTTATCTGCAGAATACCATAAAATTTAGCACAGTGATGAGAAATTGAGTGTCGGACGTAAAAACAGTGAATAAAATATGTCAACGGAGACGTAAAATACTAAAATGCGTTTAGCGCTAGTGTTGTGCCGTGTCACCTGACTGGGTGGCGAGTGTTGCGCGCGCGCAGTGCCGCGTAGTGATGTGCAGTGACGGTGTCGATGGACTAGTGATGCGCAGTGTGTAGTGACCATGGAATATCGGGGACCGCACCCGACGATGAGCGTCGGGTCGACGTACTTCCCGAATGCGCCAGGTAATGCAATGTTTATGTAGTCTTATATTTGTGTTTATTATTTTTCCTAGTACCAATGCAAGGTTATGAATTGTGAGAAAGGACGTGAGGTCTCTGAGGTCCTTAAAAAGAGTTCCCTTCTTTTTTCTGAACACAAAGCTCACAAATAAATCACATTCAAAATGCAGGCAACGCTGCTGTTGATGCGTTTTTCCTTCTTTTTACAAACATTTAAGTATTTATAGGTACTCATATCATTATATTTTATACGAAATAGATAGTACCTACTTAAAGCTTGCGCTTTTAAGTAAACATGACCTGACAGTATATTTTAGGAGTAATAAAATACCTACCTAAAGTCAAGTTATCACCTCTTCCACTTTTATAACGTGGGCACTTAGCGCTGAGTGCGGTGCTCGAATGTGAAGTTTAAGGCGAGAGCAGTAAAGTTCAAAGTTGATCGGCGGGGAATACAGGTAATGTTCTGTTTGCTGAGTGCGTCAGGGCTGTCGGAAGTTAATGTATTAAATACATTAAAGTACGTGTATTCAGGTGAAATGTTATTTGGTGTGTTTTAGTTACATTTCTTCGTGTATTATTGACAAAAAGACAGATCCATAGTGTGTTATTATTACCATTCTTTCATATAATTATTTTGTTATTGAGGCTAAGGAGGGTAGTAAAGTACCATTGAATAAGCAATCATGAGGGTGGAAAAATGTATCAGATTCCGTCTACCCGCCGCTAAGTAAAAACTGTGTTGCGACTGGTAGTGGAGTAGTAGATTTTGGATCAATCACAAAACAGAAACGACGAAGCATTTCGCTCTGAATATTTGCTGACACCTGTGACCTGCTTCATCGTACCGTTGTATGAAGCTCAGCTGAGCAAAGAGCTGGAAACAGGTGGTGAACTGGTGACGTTTCTTCTCAGCACTTGCCATATGTTTGTCTCGAAGCGCTGGTAGGGCCCAAAAGATAAGGAGACATGTAAAGTGCCCCATAAGGGCTACCTTTTTCTTTTTTTATTATTTTCTATTGACGTTCATAAGTGCCACTTGTGGTCTAAACTGAATCAATATTTTTGATTTTGATTTTGATTTTGATTTTGATTTTGATTTTGATTTTGACCCTAATCCGGCCTAGCCCCGCCCACATTCAGCTAATCAAGCGCGGCGTCTTAACGAATGTCGTGACGTCACCAGCTTTTTACCTTGTTTGGGTTAGAGCGATGGGACATGAAATGTATTTTATTTGTCTTTTTTTTATCCACACCGAGGAAGCTCTAGGCCTGTATCTCAACTGCTGGTAAGTGATGATCAGGCCGAAAAGGGAAGCGAGCTTCACTCGGAATCCTCAAACCACAGAGGAACTGGCTATCTTACCTCTAACTGCCGGAACACAATTACACAACAATGCTATTAACATTGTTGTTGTCTTCTCTTAACATATACTGTTATAACTCACACTTCGAAATCGCAGATCATTCGCATTTCATGCGGTAAACGAAGTTCAGAGTGTTAGCATGCGAAGAGCTGGAAACAGGTGGCGACCCTAATCCAGCCTAGCCCCGCCCACTCCTAGCTAATTGAGCGCGGCGCCTTAACGGATGCGTGACGTCACCTGCTCGATTTACCCGCCGGCACTTACTAGGCCGCCGGGGAAAGGGTCTGGGAATTTGTTCACCTGCCAGCCTAGACTCGTAGACGTCTATTGGAAAGAAGGCCATTGATTAAGTGTAGGTTGTGCATTACACCCTAAGAACAATAATAGTCTATAACTTACCTACATAGAATATTTTTAGGGATTTTCCTTTATTATAATATTTGTAGGGATTATTTAATCCAAAAATTTCTTAGAATCCGCGAATATCTCGCAGATTCTGAGAAATTCTTGGGATACATAATTTTCTACCTGTACTCAGTGTATTTGGGTTACACGGTCACGTTAAGCCTTAAACTCTATTTCTTTTTCAATTAGGCATGCTTATCGCACAAATTCGCCTTATTTCTTAGACGATGACCCAATATTTTCATAAGATCTATCGTCATTACGAACTAAAAAATTGTCGTGTAGTTGATTTCTAAACATGTCACCCTTGTTTTCCGCAACTTTATCAATCTACCACTTTGAGATCGATCAGTTTGTCTTCTGGGAGTCTGCTCAACCGAGCGTGGAGACACGGCCGCGAATGGACGCGCTTTGACGGATGTCGCTACGTCACTCGTTCGATTACCTTTGCCAGTCGAGATGACGTAGTGATTGATATCACAACATCCTGAGTCGCTGCCTTCAGATCTGTCAGGTGGTCGCCCTTCCGTCAGCTTGTTGAAGCAAACATGGCTGCTCAGCCGAGCGTGGAGACACGGCCGCAAATGGACGCGCTTTGATGGATGTCGGTACGTCACTCGTCCGATTACCTTTGCCAGTCGGGATGACGTAGTGATTAATATCACAACACCCTGAGTCGCTGCCTTCAGATCGGTCAGGTGGTCGCCCTTCAGTCAGCTTGTTGAAACAAACATCTGCTCAACAGAGCGTGGAGACACGGCCGCGAATGGGCGCGCTGTGATGGGTGTCGCTACGTCACTCGTCCGATTACATTTGCCAGTTGAGATGACGTAGTAATTAATATCACAACATCCTGAGTCGCTGCCTTCAGATCGGTCAGGTGGTTGCTTGTCAGTCAGCTTGTTGAAGCAAACATGGCTGCCAATTGGCTCTCTTTGATAGATAGATATCTTTACGTCTATAGATTAGTGTACCAATAGAGTAAACTTAACACACTGGTCCATACTTATTAAGAAATGGCAAAACGCAAGAGTTACATTTGGAAAAGAGGATTCTAATCTAACGTCACTAATTTGCAAATACAATAGATTTAAGACAAATTGTACTATACAGCAAGGGGGCAATTCATTTGACAATTTGGCCATTCATTCACGTAAGACTATTTTCGCTAGTTTTTGACCCCCTCCCCCCTATTATAAGAAAAAATAAGAATAGAACAACCCCCTCCCCCCTGTTTAATATTTGAATGGCCCCAAGCTAAAAACTAACCCTGTTTCCAGGGATGTTTTTTTAAATAGTTTAATGGTATCAACTACCCATTTATCGACACCACTTCCCACTGTCATCCATTTCTTGACATTGATCTCTAACGCTAACATGTAGTAACCACGTTGATCCCTCGTCATTTAGTTTACCGCAGCTCTTCCCGATCCCAGATCGATCAGGTGTCGCCGGGAGCGCTCCGCCGAGCGTGTCACGAGACCCTCCGGTTGATGGATGTCGTTACGTCAATCGTCCGATTAGTTTTACCGGCGAAGTTACAACTGATAGAATTTAACCTTTTTATCGAATTTTCGACGTGGATTTATCTTGTCTTGGGCTTCATGCAAAATTATATCAGACTATTTGTGTTTGAAGCCATCTTCAAGTTTGTCTCGTAAACGTAGTTACTCCTAAATTTAAATGCGAAGTGCTTTACATTCTGAGAATCAGGTGTATCGATCATATTTCCAAAACCTTGAGTTGAGATTGAGACTACAATTCTGTGTAATTCAGGTCAGGATACTAGTGAGTAACTATAGATTCGTCATAATAATACAGATCAAACGATTTATTGAAATATGAGTTTGCCATGATCGACAATCGGAAGAGTTCTCAACCATTGATCTGTTACAGCACTTACAGCTTATGACATATATTTTTTATACCATCCATATCACTTCCGTTGTAGCTTCGCCAACAAGAAGTAATACGTTGGCTCGTTCCTGCGATGCATGCCGGTGGAAGGAGTAAGTACGGAAGTGCGGAACACATCTGCTGTAGCGTGCATCCTTCCTAATGAAACCACGTGTCTTGTATGGTGACGCTGTTTCTATTGAGAATTGCTAGACAGTTTTGAAAGATCTCAGCCGAATAATGCATAAGAAGGACAGATTACTGAACTGTTTTGTCAGAAAGTGGAGATATTTTTAAAAGTCAAGTATTTATTAGCCATCTAGCCTATATTTTATGGAGGAATTTTATCGATTTTTGACGGAAAGCCATACATTCATTTGTCGTCTTATATTGACAATAAGATTATATCGTGGCGCGCATCCCAGGCCGGAATATCGCTAAAATACAAACGACTATTGCTTAAGTTAACAATTAATATCAACTCAAACGCCATCAAAAAGGTGGTGAAATCCTTAACCAAAAGCTGAAGCGATTCCTGTACTTTCGCTTGAATTTAATTAAACCACTTCGCCGAAACGCCAACCGTGTTCTAACAACGAATACCTCGGGGCTCTTTCCCTGTACTCCTGGTTCCTGGTATCAATTACGTCGTATCGGTACAACAATGAACAGATTGTTTTCCAATTACCGGGACTCGGGAGTACCGGGACGGTCCCCGGGCGCGCGGATCCCTTGTCGCACGAGGCTGCGCGCGCAGGGATATACGGCCGGTGCTTTGGGTGGATTGGTACGAGGAGTAGACGATAGCGGGGGAGGTAGATATTAGACACGTGTGGTCGTACGGTGGTTGACCTTGCTTATAATATTACATCAAACACTAAATAATAGATACGTACAGCCAATAACGAATTCTGTCTAATGTTATTTCATTTTTTTATAAACAGCCAAAGGGATTATACACTCCAGAATAGGTTTAAAAGCCTATGAGGTTCAAATATTGATACAGGCTTGAATCTAATGCTTGAATGAAGTACGTTGTGATTTAATTTCGTAATACGAGCTTTAGTGCTCTTGAAGCTGAATCATTTACAAACGCTTCATAGATGAGTCTCCTTTCAGAAGATTGAGTGAAGCTTGTTCAGTCTAGTGACTTTTACTGAATCTTAGAGGACGTTAGATGTGTCTATCTACTTTTGAAGAATATCCTCTGGCTACCTCCTATCTCTAGCTCAGCTCTTTTGCCGACTTGGAAAATCCCAAAACCTGTTACTGGACCTTAAGGTTGAATAAGACCTTTAATTTAGAAAACGTGGAGATTTTTCATGTAACCCCCGT